GGCTTACGATTCATACGAATACATACAACATATAAATTATATTTAGATTCTGTATAAGTTCTAGATATGAAATCAATCATAAATGCATTATCAGAATGTACTGTATGGTTACAATATACAATGTACTACTGTACTATGTACAGTATATGATATAATAGTAATAATATAATGAATATTTTAAATTAGATTTATAAATATATAATATACACAAAATTGCAATCAATTAATGCATAAAAAGTAAATAAAAATTTAATTGAAACTAATTTTAGGAAAAAGTTTCTCATTGACTATAACGTTGAGCACAAACCCGCCTCAAGTGGGGGTCTATTTGAAAGCCATTAAAGTGACGGTCGACGGGCCCCGGGAGCCCAGGAGTAAGATTAGTATGTAAACATGTGTGACCAGGCTAAAACAAATTCTTAATCCTATAAACCGGTATATCAGGACATCAACAACATCTGCGAGCGTTTGCCACGGCTTTCGGGCACCAAAGACAGCCGTTTCTGGAGTCGAGGGGTTGTTCCCTGCCATCCATTTCCACAAATGAATGGCGTTTAGCGGCACACGCGGCCGCCATGGCCCGACTGCCTACCAGTGCCAGCGGTCAGGGTTTGTACCATATCTTCATCTTAATAGCAATGAGAATATGTTTTTGTCAATTTTCATAGACCTGTCCACTGGACTCCATATCCCATCCGCCTGTGCCGGTACGGACACGTGGGGTACGGCGTCGGCCGCTTACGCCCATTACACGGCTACCGCTGCCTACTATATGTCCGGTCAATCAAATTGCGTGGATTTACACCAAAACCCACTGATCGACAGTCAGTCGTTGGTCCACAACACGAGCGCATCCTATCTGATGGATAGTAACGGACAGTCGGGGGACGGGAGGCCCACAGCCTGTTCCAGTGCCAGTCATCCCATTCATGAAAATAATGGTTCGCCGACTATTCATAGTAGTGGACGAGTGTCTGGACTCACATCCAAGTGCGATGTCATCAGCGGAGGCCTTAATGGCACGGATATGATAGCACATCACTCATCCTGCAAATCAGGTCTCTCTCTCTCTCTCTCTCTCTCTCTCTATTATTTAATTGCATAGAATAGAGTTAAAATTTTATTTGCCCAGGATAACTTCTAAAATCTATAATATGTGTTACATACTGCTAATAGTTTCATTTGATAGTAAATATTTAAGTGTTTTATTTGTAAAACTATTGGTCACCAGAATATAGTGTCTTTAAAACTTAATTTTTAGTACAAATATCATCTGGTACGGTATTAATTTTGATGCATTACCCAGATTCATCTCAAACACTATCAGCATTCACGGCACCCATATATCAGAGCACCGGTAATAACGGTTCGAGCGCTTATTTATCATCAAACAGCTACCCATTATTGAATCATGGCTATTATGGCACCACATGCAGTGCCTCAGCACCGGCATCATCGGCTAATTCATCTAATTTAATGCCATCCCTATTATACCCATCAATATATTCATCGAATCCAAGTCTTCAGGGATTGTTCACCAATCGGACCAATAATTGCGATAATCTTATCACTGATACCCATATCTATGGCTATAATAATAGTATCAATAGTTTGAATAATCCGTTGAGTAATACAAGTTTTGATGCAAACAATAGTTGCGGTAATAATAGCGAAACGGTTTCCGTTTGGAGGCCTTATTAGTGTCTAGTAATTCATTGTTTAACTAATAGTTATAATAACTATATGACAGTAGAAATAGTTTGTAGTTATCAGCCATTCAATACCTTTAAGTTTAATATATTTTCCCTGGATCACTTTTTCCATTGGCTTTATATTCCTGTTATACGAAAAGTTTAGCAAATTTTTATGTATTGTATAACTTTACTTAACTCTAAATTTTAAACAGTAGGTCTATAATAAAAATTTTATTAAATTTAATTTAATGAAAATTAAGTTATCATTGTATTTTGTCGCGAACTTATGTAATATTGTATTCAATAAAATCTCAATTTTAACATTAAATTATTATACTTGTTTATGATATATCAATAAAAGTTTTAAAATGTAAATGATTTGCAAGTCTTAAGCAAAACGATATTAACCCGAGGAATGTCGGGATGCTCTCTAACTTTATGGGAAACTCTGAAATACAAGTCTGAAAGTCCATCATTTCATATTTTAAATATAATTTTATTAAATTGAAAATCATTAATTAAATTAATATTATTAAAATACTACTATATTTGTGAGATAGACGAATATGATATGCATTTACCGTAAATACTAGTTATTTCACAGACAATAAACCAGTAAATATACCGAATAAATAGTTGGAAATATTTCGTTACAAACTAATAATTACACTTTAATTTACAAAATGATCTTTATGTTATATTATTAATAAAGCTGAGAATAAGTTTATCTATTAATAAGATTCAAATAACAAAGAATACAAACTTTACGTTAAAATTAAATCACATTTAATGGGAGTTCAGGGAAAGTCTAATTAAATTCAGTGATAAATGACACGAAAATTTCTCAAATATATAATCAAAGAATGATTAATAATATGCAGTCATTAATGCTGTGAATAAGTGACAGTAAATGAGTGTTTCATTTGAAGGCAAATCTCAAGTAAGGGAAAGACACTCGCAATCAATATTACAGATAAGACATTGACGACAGAATCGCATTCAATAGTATTATATACGACAATATGTGTGTCTTTTAAAGGCTATAAATGTGAGAATAAATGATAAAAATTGTTAATTATGTTAAGCAGATAAAAGTCATCATTTATTATACAGAATATCTCCTGAATATAGAGTATATCCTATAAAATATT